ATACAGCACACACGCTTTACTGGAAAAAGTGCCAAGCAGACAATCTGGAGTTTGTTGCACACATAATGGAAAGTGACATTGCAGGTAAAAGTACGAGAATCTAGGTAACTTCTCAAACATAATTTATAAGAGAAGATAATTACCATCCAGTGAGTATGAATTCACAGCACCATCAACAGTTATGACACTACTTCTGCGACTTCCCTCCTGCTTAGATCTTAACTTGTACCCTATGATAGCACCATTGCGTGCAGATAAGGGTGGCGGATCCCAGTAAATCATGATACTGGATGTGGACTGGGGCACCATAGTGATGTTTACAGGTGGAGAACTGGGTTCTGCAAGATTAAAACTACAACTCAGCATACTGAAGTCATCTTTAGGTTTCACTATTGATTACAAATACTATACTGTAAAACTATTTATTTTCACTATTTTGATGAATTTCACTGATTTTAAATTCAGGAATTTGGCAGAAGAAACAACTAGTTCAATTATTATTTTTACATGTTCACATGGATTAAATTTAGTGGTTTTCATCCCCAGCAAAAATCACTAAATTAAAAATCGGTGAATAAAGTCAAAATTCAAGTTCCTGCTACAAAAAATATGTGTATACATACGATCAGAGTAGGTCCTGGTAACCACCTCTTCACTGGATACACCAGGTCCGTTCTCGTTGTACGCCACAACTCGGAATGAATAATCCGTGAATTTGTTAAGTCTAGTTACAGTGTAGTATAGTCCTATGACCTCTATATCCTGTTCACTATTGATTCTTGCCAACTCAGCATAGTAAAGCTTATAATGATCAATTTGACCATTTCGCCGTGTTGGGGGATCCCAGAGGACCTTGATGACAGTCGTTGACAAAGCAATTGCTCTCAGATTCATGACAGGTCCAGCTGCTTGGACTAAAATAGTAAAAGAATATTGTTAACAATATGCGATTATACGAACACCAAACAAAGAGAGACAATCACTTATGAGAGGAGTATGAATCAGAAACAGGAAAATGGTGTCCAATAGTACACAGATTTGTTGACTGCCGGTAAGGTTTGACTGTACAAGAAAATCTATGGGCAAAGATAAGGTTATAAAACTTGAATATTTCTATTTGGATTTATTAGTGAACACAGATAGTCATCATGCACATCACTACTGAGAATTTCAAGGGCTCTGGTAATTACAATGTCCAAGTAAATGTATGTATCAGATCATACCTTCTGGTTGAGTCTCAACATAGAGAACAGGCGACATTTCTCCAGCGCCATGTTGATTATAAGCTTTTATTCGGAACTCGTATCTTGTTGATGGAATCAATTCCTCGATTCTTTCTTCAACAGTTGTAGTATTCACAACTCTTTCCCTGTCAAATAACAGTCATTTTAGAAAGTCAAAAAAATACTATGCTTTATAATGAAACATAGAAACGCCCAATACATGTATTTTGTTATTTATTAAAAGCATGATACACCTTTCCTTACAGCAAATTTCAGAAGTATTGGGGCTGCCAATTTGCAAACTCACTAGCAAATTGGCTAACTGCTTGGGTTTTGACTAAACAGTTGGCTTTCGAATCTCGCTGGCGCCGACTCATGGCCGCGTCTAGTCTGGGCTCTTTTATCCGACTTGTGGCCTGGGCTCTTTCATCAACATAAAATATCCAACACCTGGACTTGAGTTGTGAAAAGTCCTTCAATTTTGAGCGACTTGGCCAAAAATGAAATCTGAAAGTTACAGCGTTTTTAGTTATACAAACTTAAAGTTTACATTTTGGACCATTAATGGTCTAAGTTAATTTATTGTCTTTACGACAATAAATCATACAGTACCGTTTCAATTCTTGCTTCAGGTGTACGCTAAACACAACTACCGGTAGCCAAGGAAGTTTGTAAAGTTTGATAATCCATAATAGCTCACATGTAGTTTTAACACAAGTAATATTGTTGTAATATAAATTTGAAAGAGACCTAATGGCTATTCAGGAAACAATGTTTATAGAGAGTGTGGTGTGCATTTCAGACTAATCTTAATGAAAAATGCTTTACATAAAATATTAATTTTTTCATATAGACCATCTTTGATCGTCTAACAGAAAATCCTATGTGCAATTCAGTGACTTCATTACACATAAGAATCTGAAAACTCAACGAAACTGAATCTACAGAGCTGCTCTATGATATTTTAATGGCTATTGGCAAGATGGATATTGTGAATCACAAAGCTGTTACATTTATTGCAGTACACATATTGCTCAAAATGTCAAAGGGTACAAACAAAATGTTGCTAACAATACAACTATAAGTAAACCATCACCTGTCATTAGCTGACCTAAAACTTATTGTACTTCAAATTGCCCCCCCCCCCCCCATTGATTTTGGCATGTCTGTTTCAACGGGCAATATTTTTAAACTTCAATAGGTGATTTTCTGTTCACGCAGGCCGAAAGTCTGCCGCGAAAATCAATTGATTTGATTTTGAATTTTTTGTTTCGTAACTCAAAGTCGAAAGACCGATTTTTGAAAGGGGAATATTAAAGCATCTATACATACGTTTAGATACCTTACTTCACCGAAATTGACCATCATCAAATGTATACAGCACACCATTAAGCATGGAAATATCCTCCAGTTACTTTTGCGTTCGAACCCCACACGATGTTTGATCGCCACTACAACGCTATGACCATTGTTTGTCCTGTTTTTATGTGCGGTTTCATGCATAACGCAGCATCGCACAGTGAACAGAAAGTGGTCTATTACAACCGCAATTTTCGAGGAAAACAGAGGAATTTAATGCTTGCCATGAAATGTGCTTGAATGTATGATTTTCAGGATAAGCCATATTAAACTTACCTCGGAGACCCCTGCCTTCTGAAGTAGACTGAGTAGGCCATTATATTACCATTCGTAAGCCCTGGCTCTCTCCATGTCAAATCAACAAACCTGGTCGATACTAACTGAGGCAGTACATCCCTTGGAGCAGTAGGTACCAGTCTGGAACCTGGCGACGTATCTGTACCTACCATGGCAGTAGGGGATGGTGAAGTAGTGGTGGTACTGATCAGTACAGGCATTGTGGGTAAGGATTCATCTGATGGTGGTGGTGGTCATGGGTAAAACAGGGAGACACAAAAAAAAAAAAAGACAAACATGCAAAAATAAATACAGCAAACTAAGTGGGGGGTTAAAAGCCATGAGAAGCAAGTTTATTACGGTGACCTCTGACCTAAGTGCAGGAATCATGCAGGATTGCTACAAGCTGAGGCATTCTACAACTCAGACGGTTGAAACGATTAGAAATATCATGCCTCAATGCAATTGCAAAAATATTATTTATACGTAGGAGGCCAAACAATAGGCAGCAGCGTACAGCACTATAGGTATCAATGTGTTAATTGTCCACAAGCATCTTTACTGAACTGATTGTAAAACATACCAAGTTGAAGAATTAGGGAATGTCAATACATTAACTTATTTAATAACCAAATGTACAAACACGCATCAACGACAAATCATATCTACATACTCCACATTAGTAATTCTTTCCTTTTAATTTATTTTTAATTTATTTTTGGCAGCCATTTCATCATTCAATTAGATTTAGGTACCTCAAAGAATAATTTAACTAAGTTTGTGTTAAAATAAAAGTGCATCTTTAAATGTACTCTCTAGTATTCTTTTTATCAAAGAATTATTTTAAGTGTGTTTATATACATCAGCACTAATAAAAGATGTACATTTCCAAACATTTAGGTGTTGTAGCTTGTCGTTATGTGCTTTTGTTGAAATCATTCACATACAAAACGGAATCAAAAGAAAAAATATTACATTTACACCTGTGAGGG